AGGACTGGACGATAGCCAATGTGGTACTGTTACTCAAGAAGGGAGGAAGGGACAAAGCAGGAAACTACAGACCAGTCAGTCTAACCTCGGTGATGGGAAAACAATTAGAAGCAATTCTGAGTGACAGAATTAATCTGAATTTGGTGAGGCAGGGATTAATTAAAGACAGTCAGCATCGCTTTTTTTAAGAGCAGTTCATATCTGACCAACTTGATTGAACTGTTCAAAGGGGTGATCGGGTGTGCAGATGAGGGCAATCTTTTGATGTGGTCTACTGGGACTTTAATGGATTTTGATAGGGTCTCACGTGGGAGATTGATAGAATCCACGGGATCCAAGGAAATTTGGCAAATTGGATCCACAATTGGCTGAGTGGCAAAAATAGAGGCTGGTCGTTGAGGGGTGTTTTTCCCACTGGAAGTCTGTGTCCAATGGGGTCCCAGAGGGATCAGTGTTGGCGCCCTTGCTGTTTGTGGTTTATATACACGACTAAGACTTGAATGTAGGAGGGCTGATACAAATGATACAAAAATTGGTGGTGTGGTAAATAGTGAGGAGGATAGCCTCAGATTACAGGAGGATATAGTGGGCTGGTTAGATGATCTGATCAGTAGCGAATGGAATTCAATCTGGATAAATGTGAGATGATGCACTTGGGCAGGATAACCGAGGTGAGGGAATACATTCTGAATGATAGGACCCTGGACAGCACCGAGGATCAGCGGGTCCTTGGTATGCATGTAAACTAGTCCCTTAAAATATCAGGACAGGTGGATAAAGTGGTTAAGAAAGCATATGGGATACTTGCCTTCATTGGCCAAGATATAGATTTTAAGAGCAGGAGGTTATTCTGGAACTGCACACAGCTAAGGTATTGCGTGCAGTTGTGGAATCCACATTATAGGAGCGATGTGATTGCTCTGGAGTGGGTGGAGGAGATTTACCAGGATATTGCCTCGGGTGGAGAGTTTCAGTTATGAAAAGAGAGCGAACAGACTGGGGTTGATTTTTTTGGAACAGAGGAACCTGTGATTGAAATGTATTTCATTATGAGGGACATAGACAGGGAAGACAGGAAGAAACATTCCTCCTTGATCAAGGGACCGATGACCAGGGGACAGAAGGTTTGTAGGTGATATGAGAAAAAGCTTTTCACCCAGATGGTGGTGAGAATCTGGAACTCGCTACTTGTAAGGATGGTAAAGGCAGAAACCTTCATAACATTTAAGAAGTATCTAGATGTGCACTTGCAATGCCAAGGCATATAAGGCTATGGACCAAGAGCTGAAAAATGGGATGAGAATATTTAGGTGGTTGTTTTTGACCTGCGCAAATGTGATGGGCCAAAGACTCTTTTTCTGTGCTGTAGACCTCTATGAACTCCTACAGTTCTAGCCACTTGCATATCCTCTTTTCATCACCACAACATTGGTAGCAATGCCTTATATTTTAGAATTCCCTGCTTAATCATTAAACCTCTTTCTCCCTACTTAAGCCACTCCTTAAAATCTACCTTATTACACCAAGCCTTTGGTCCTCTGTTCTTACATCCCTTTAGGCATGAAAAACATGATCCTTTTAAAATTTGGTATTTGGCATATTATGATACAGTTAAACCATTATCTACTTGAATAAAACAATAGGCTAGAGGAGGTGATGGGCCTATTAATTAGAGATTAGTTTTTCTAATCTCTGTATTGTAGGCTGAGAAGGCTGTATTCAGTGGCAGTAACAAGAGATTACAGATTTATAATAATCAGGAAAAGAACCAAGGGCAATGAGGAGAATATTTTTGATAAAGTAGGTTCTTATGAACTGGAATTTGCTGCTGAAAAAGCACTGGTAGCAGATTCAGCAGGAACTTGCAAAGGGGAATTGGTTACTTATCTGAAAAGGATACATTTGCAGGGCTAGCAGGAAAGAGAAAGGAATTACAAGCACCATGGATCAAAAATTTCCTTCTGTACAATGCATTTTATAACTTTATGTCAAACAAAGACCCTCATTTTTGGTTTCAATCTGGTAAATCTCAGCATCATTAGGGTTCCATATAGGAGAGTGTTACATGGAGCAACAATGTCCAAAAGTAACGTAAATTGGTTTAGCTTAAGCTAGTCAGTAAGCTTCACACGGTCAGCAAGGAGAGATCACATCCAGAATAGACACAGCCTGAGTGAGTATATAGTTCAGGGAATTTGAAGGCTGAAATAACTCCACGAAGGCTGGTATCCTGTGACCAAGTCACCCTTTACTTACACATGACACTGAACTGGCAATAACAGAGCCAGCTCCTAGAGTGAGCAAAACCTTCACAATCCTGTTTATATCTGTCAGCCAGGACTCCCTGATTGAACCAGGTTAACAGTTCAATCAGGGAACTCATATTCTATGAGATTCACCTGACGTTTTTCCAATCACTGCATCCCTCCCCCTTTAAGTCCTGGGATATAGGCTTGTTCTTTTTCCTGTAGCTTCTCCTGGGAAATTTTCACATGAAGTCCAGTACTCTAAATCTGCCTCATATACTGGCACTGCCATGTCCATCTCGTCCTCAGAGGTTTCTTTGATGGTAGGCAGAGATTGAGAACCCACAGCTTCTGACGGCCTTGCTGGATGTTCTGAGAGGCTGGGTATATTTTGCTCCTGCTCCATTTGCGAGGTTACAGCCTTCATGTGGTCCACATGCCTGTTCAGGACTGCCTCACCTACCCAAAGTTTGTACATCACGGGAACTGACCTCACGTCGACCATACCTTTTACTCATACAGGGCCATTCCAGTGGTTTTAACACCAAACTTCATTCCTTGAAATAAACTGTTTTTCTCACTTAATGGAGTTTTGTGTGCAGCATTCATATTCCTGATCCCATTTCACCCTCCCCCTCCCAAGGTCTGGGCAGATCAGATTTAAGCTGATGCAGAGTTTTCTCCCCATTAGCAACTCTGCTGGAGCTGTCCCTGCAGTTGCGTGAGGGGTGGTCCTATACTCAAATAGGAACCAGTACCTAGAAAAAAGTAAGCTGTTTCTTTAAGCCTGCCTTCAAAGTTTGGACTGCTCTTTCCACCCGACCATTAGACGATGGATGGTATGGAGCTTTCCTTACATGCCGAATACCATTCAACTTCAGGAAATGCTCGAGCTCCCTGCATAAATGATGGCCTGTTGTCTGTGACCAACACCTCCAGAGGTCCTTGTATTGCAAACGATGCTTACAACTTTTTAATCGTCATCCCTGTGTTTGAACAAATGAATTCTATGCACATCCAACCACTTTGAATGGGCATCCACAATGACTAAAAACATACAGCCCATGAGAGGACCAGCACAGTCAATGTGCACCGGAGTCCAGGGTTTACCTGGCCATTTCCACAAATGTCGGAATATGGTGGTAGTTTTTGTCCTTGTTGGCACTCTGGGCACTGCCTCACTTAAGCCAGCTATGTCTGCATCCAATCCTGGCCATCAGGCATAACTTCTTGCCAACATCTTCATTTTGGAATAAAAAAAAAGTTGCTGGAAAAGTTCAGCAGGTCTGCAGCATCTGTGAAGAGAAATCAGAGTTAACGTTATGGGTCAGGTGACCTTTCAATTGATGGTAGCTAGGAAAACGTCGGTTTACTTGTAGAAAATAGTGTCAGGATAGGGGGTAAGGAGTAAATAATAGGTGGGGATAGAGTCAAGAGAGAGAGAAGAACAGTTGGACAGACAGCTATTCACTTCAGACGATTGCTGGACTAGTCAGTGAGACAGCTCTTTCCAACTTTGGCATTAATCTCCAAATGTTGGTTGGGATTTGCTTGTCCAGCCCACTGGGCTGATTTTGCCATTGTCATTTCAGGTGCCTGGATCTATGACAATGTTAGATGGTCCATTGTGAGTTCTTTGATCACTGAGTACACAGTGGAGGTAGTTGTTGAGGATTCCTCATGCATCTGTGACTGGACTTGGCCCAAGTTGGTCATGACCAGTGGAATGTGTGGCTGCCAGCCCACTATCCACATTCTTGACTGTGCCTAAGTGTTTCTCAAGAAGAAGCATGCATTGTCTATCTTCTGAAGGGTCCTGACCCGAAATGTCAGTATTCCTGTTCCTCTGATGCTGCCTGGCCTGCTGTGTTCCTCCAGCTCCACACTTTCTTATCTATTGTCTACCAACTTGCTTAAGGCCTTCTGTGAGTGGTGGACACTATTAGGATTGGAGTGGATAATGATTAACAGCAATCCAATTGATAAAAAAAAAGTTTCCCTCACTTTTGAACTGCTGCAACACACTCATCTATCAAGTTTCTACCTTACTGTTCTGAGATCCTTCAGCAAACGTTTGACAGGTAACATTGATCCTTCATGTGAACAATTAGCACTCAGTTCTGATTCTGCACGAATTAGTGTTCCCTTTCCAAGATGTTTCTTGCGCGACAGTCCTGATTCATTCAAGATGAAATGCTAATTATAAAATAAATTTCATATTACCAAGCACTTGATTTGTGTTACGTGGGGAGGTGCCGGTGTTGAGCTGGGGTGGACAAGAGTCAGAAATCACACGCCACCAGGTTATAGTCCCACAGGTGTTTTCAAACAAACCTGTTGGACTATAACCTGAGGCAGTGTGATTTCTGACCTTGATTCGTGCAGCTATTTGCTGTTCAGCTTATTGCGCATCGCTTAGACAACGCCGTATCTCCTTACGGTGACTTGAACGACACGCTCACAATAATCGAATAGAAATTTCGCTGCAGCCGCGGCCCGGTCAAGGATGGAAAGGCCGCATGCGCGTAAATTGGAACGCTGTGGGACAGTGCGCATGAGTCTGCGCGCGGGTGGTGACACACATGCGCGAACAGACGGTCTCCAGCAGTTATCGCATACACATTCCCCGCCGGATCGCGGCAGGAGCGGGACGGGAAGCATGCGCAAACACGGTCGTAGGTTGGGTGGGGGGGCTAAGTGCGGGAGCCTCGTGCGACGCATGCGCGGTTTTATTCGGGCTGGCATTGACAGCGCATGCTCAAAAAGGAGCGCTCGCGCAGCTACGTTCACGTTTTTCACCTCCTGGTGCACGTAGGTAACGACGGACCGGTGGAGCGGAGGAGACTCGGCGTTTGGGCCCGGTCTGTGTGCGCGCGTGCGCGCGAGCACCGGGTGGCCTTCTGAAGCGCAGCATCTTCCAGTAACCGCTCGCTCAAACTCGCTGTTTTCCGCTATGGGCTAGGAGCAAAGGACGAAACAAATCTACTGACTGGCAGCTCGGGCCCATCCGCCTGCCATGAACATCGACGTGGAGTTTCACATCCGCCAGAACTACCCGTGGTCCAAACTTCCCGGGAATGTCAAGCAGGTCAGTGCTGCGCTGTCAGAGGGGGTCAGCGCGGAGGGAGCGCGGCGCTGTCAGAGAGGGTCAGCGCGG